GTTATTTTTGTTGACCAGTGTAGTTTTCAGATTATTATTTGAAAATTGGCAAAACGAAATCAAAACGAAATCGTCTCCAAGATCTTTGTAATTCGAAAAGTAGTTTAGATATTTTTTTGTTTTCAGTATTATTCAGAAAAGCCAATATCGAAGTTTTCTCAATTAGAGAATATAAAACAGCTTCCGAATCGAAAGAAGATTTTCCCTTGAGAATCAATTATTGGGGTGGATTTTAACAAATACTGCCACTTGATGAATAAATTATATTCTCGTGACTCGATCACACTGAATATCGAACAAACATCCAAATATTTTTGACAGAGATTAGCCTATTCCGTGAATATTTTTTAGGTGATACTGCAACACATCTTTTCTTCTACATTTTCTTGGACATAGTGGACACTGAAAAACTTCTTGCTTTCCACATGGATAAATAACTGGATACAGATACTTCTTCTTGATTCCATAATGTTCAGGTTTTCCAGTTTTTTCAAAATTGGAATAATCTGCAACTTCAAGCTTAGATGAAAATTTTGACGGGGAAAATTTTGACAATTCTATACATACTTGGTTGCAACGTATAAGCATGCAGACTTGCTAAAAATACCTTCAACTGAAGCACTGTGGAAAATATAAAAAATACAGGAAATATATAGGTAGATATGTCTTAAAACTACTATCCGAAAATGAAGTTACAACCTATTTAATTTACAAAGAGAGAGTTTGTTAGAGCTACTCACTACTAGTATCATAATTGAAAACACTTTTACAACTTTAATTAAAATTTCACATAGTTTCTAGCTAAGAACTCATTTTTTCTCGGCTCTTGCCATTGTATATCTTCAGTACATAGGTTTTGGTTTATATATGAGGTTAAGTGCAAGAGCAATTGAATGATGACTTGCCTTCATGCAAATTGAATCTCGCCTCATATCTTCATATAACAATTGAATAGATGAATTTGAAGATAATAAAGACGATATCATTATTATTATTTACCGTAGTATGCGCTGGTCTGGCCCTATCCTCCGAATCCCCGATACATTCGGGAGGGCGCGCCAGCATTATTAAGTTTCGACAGTAAAGAGGGAATCATTCCATCAAGAACTCTAAAATTATTCATCTTGATAGAGTGGTCTGCATAGAATCTGCGGTGTTCGGAAAAAAAAATCTCGATATTTTATCCGTTTTTGCTCCTCTTTTCAGACGATATTTGTCTCGCCAGGAGCTGAAAACTCCACGACGACAAATATCGTCTACATCAGGCTTATTAGCTTGTATAAGCCTGAAGGTAGGGAACGAATAGTTCCAATAAGTTCGGCACTTCTAGTTCCACACAACGGATTCAATATCCCCCGGAGTGTAGGGCAACACCCGTGTCTCGTTAATACCATAAGAGTGCCGTAGATATTAATATAGTACTCTTAGGGCCGCGTTATGTCGATGGATAAAAGCTGAGACCGCATATGCTGGACATGATGATAGTAAGTGCATTAGGGTATCGGACGCCTCGCGACAGAACCTGTACCTTGTGTCAGGGACCTCTATACCCATCACGCGACTGCGATAGACTAAGGTGTTGGAGACACCATCCTGGCAAGCCATAATGAACCTCTCAGGTTCCGACTTCAGCCCCCTCAAGTTGTGATCACCTCGTACAGTGTCGAAAACTAAACCGAGTTCATCAGCTGCTCGGGCAGCTGCTATGAAGAGAAATGATCCAATTCCAGCTCTGTCATGGCCACGGACCATGCATAGAAGGGGATCCGAACTCTTGACGACTTTACAGGCTACATCCAGTACCATTCTGTCATGTAGATTCTCCAAACTCAAAAGTCCACGGCCTTTTTTTGGGATGCAAACTCCTATAGAGGTGTATCATTTTTCGGGTTTTCACGTCGAGCTGATACAGCTTCTCCCGAGTCCACTTCACTACTCCAAACGAGTAGGGTGAGATTTAAACGTCGAGCATATTTGTTGCAGCGACTTTCTTCTTCCCCGACAATTCCGATGACTAAATCTGTTGCAGTTTGTGCTGTATGCAGAGTTCTTCACTGCTGTTACCTCTTGAGAGTGGCGTTGCTCCACCCCGTTATTATTGTTATTATTATATTCACAATATACGCTTTATTTCCTCTCCATTTTTACAAATACTTATAACGTATAACATCTAGGAGACATTTTATTCCATGTCACTATATAGGATGACGAAGGAGTATACAGAAAATAGTTAGAGCAATCTTAGAGAGATATTCTCTTTGGATTCAAATTCCTACAGATTATTCTAGAATGATTTATATTTTTGAGGATGGAGTCTTCTGTCGGTCTCATAGATACCGTCTTCATAAGAGGAGATGTCATCGCCGCATTTGCTACTTTCCATGTTTATAATATGGAAATGTGTTTATAGGTTTCCAGGAATATCGGAAAAGTCAGAATTAGGTCAGACGTTCATAATGTGATAGATGTATATTTTTGTGAAACGAATATTTGTTATAATTCCGCAACCTATAATTCATTAACTGTTGAAAGAAAATTAGGTCCGAAATCAAAAATCGTTCGAAGAAGTATCTTGCTGATGAATGTTTTCATTTTGTGGATGAGTTTTTATGAATATTTCAGTTATATTGATATATACTCAAATTTATATGCCAAAATGTGTGTTGTTTTTGTGTCTATTGTTACACAGGTAACATCGGATTTTGGCAGGTTGTTCTGTGACTAATATTTTCAGAAACAAAAATATTCATTTTATTCTACCACTGCTCACTGCTTTCATAAAGAATGAATATTTAAATCCCACACTATTTTTATTTTTACCCTCAAATTCTGATCCCGAACTTCTTATCACATTCTCAACTACAATCGCAAATCATAGTGAAACAAAATGGTTTATCACTCAATGTAGTATTGGGTATAAACTTGCAGTGCGTTGTATATTTTAGAAAAGCAACCTCTATTGGTAATGAAACATATTGAGAATGAATTTTGGTTGTCAAATGCATTGATTATTTTTTCTGATTGATTCGGCCATTACTTGATGATGATCCATAGTAATTTCAAAAACTATACCTCACGATTTGATCTCCACAAACTGTAGCTTTCTCAAGTGTATGATATTTTTTGATTGACAATCAGTTTAGTAGAGTTTGTGTCATATAATCAAGATGTGAATTTCATGAAAACCAGCTAATATGATCTTTCAAACACCATACCAAAGGAAGGAGAAAAAAATAGCCAGAAAATCTGAATTGTTGGAAAAACTGTTGTTTGGTTCTTTGTTTTTCCTTAATAAAATGTTTCACATAATACTTCATGATAATATATTGAATACGAGTATATAAAATGAAGAAAAAAAAGAGGCTTTGTATGTTTTCATGTGATTTGAAAGTAATGTATCACTTTTGCAATTTTTCACAATGAAGTGGTTACGCAAAGAGATGTTTCCTGCGAAAAATTTTATCTGTTATTGAAATATGACTTCCTAAAATAACTTGATGATGATGAAGTTTTTGTGAAAGACTGGAATTAGTAAGTTTTGTTTGCTGTTTTCTGCCGCGACACGGTCGCGGAAGCCGCCGAAAGTTCGAAGTCTGCTGGAACTGCAGCATTCTCTGGCGAAAAATTAAAACAAAAAATACCAAAATCTTGGTAACAACTATCTGTTCCATCCAGAAGCGGTTGAGGGCTATTCTTGCCACCCAAATATGAGCTGCAGTCCTTGTGTTCTGGTCATCTTTCAGTGAAAGAACTTCATGAACCAAAAGCTGAATCGGTCCCTCTACGAAACTTTTCAGCTTGCAGCTTGAGAAATGGTTCTGATACAGATTTTGTGAAACATGTTCTTCCTTACGAATCAGTAGACACTTGTTTTTAAAATCTTGCGAAGAAAATTGGATTATATAATTAAGGAAACACTTGCTACAAGAATAGCATTTTACAAGTATTGTTCATGACGAAGAATTTTATGAACGAGGTTTCAACGATGAACGAGAATGTTTCCTACTTATTCAACAAACTTAAACAATTGTTAATGCAGTTGCAGTTCCGTAAGAATGTATCATCTATCCCATCAAGCGATTAAGTGAATTGCTCAGAATTCTTGGGGTTCTTGTTGAATACTCTTCGTCAGCAAAAAAATAGCAGAATCAATACTCCTGACCGCTCTGGATTGAATGATTCCATAGAGTCTATCTCGTCTTGTGTTTGTAGATCTTTTGCTGAAAAAATCCTCACTTGTATACTTTGTAGTAAATGTTTAGGAGGTAGCAAAAACGTATGTGATTTTCTGGAACTTCAACTAGCGTTTCCTTATATAACTAATAACCAGCCCGTGCAAAGCTCATTGTGAAATCATCTGAAAATGGAACTTTTAACGGGTGACCATCAACTGTATTGCCAAACAGGCGCTAAACAGACTGACTATTATAAGAAAACAAGTATAGCTGAGACACCAGTCAACCTAATAATAACACTGATGATCTTAAAACATGACTCAACCTCTGACGGAAGCACCAAACTCTTACGAAAGTTCGAAATAGATGAACACTTCAATCTAGCAGAACACTATTATAATCTTCATGCAGTCATTGTTCGATGTGGTTTTGGCGTTGAATCTGGCCATTATTACACATCGGTCAAAGACGAAACAGACTGGTTTAAATTTGAATCAATATCTTCAGATGATGTGGTGCTGCAGGTTTTTCCGGGTTTTCCTGCAGCTGAAAAAGCAAATGCGCCAATGGAATCAATGAAGTCGCCCCGAAGCGCCAATTAATTTTTGTTTTTTCATAATTTCATGATTTGTATTACTTTCTTTCTTCAATGAAAAAAATAGAATATATAGTAATGTCCTCACTAGTTATTCGAAAAAATATATTAGGTATAATAATATGATAATAATATTAAACAATATTGAAATATGAATTAAATCAACAATATCAATATAATAAGCTCTTCCAAACAACTTTCATAAAATTTTCTCGGGAATTAAAAAACCATTTTTCACTTAGTTGGTTGTTGTATATATTTTTTATTTTCGTTAATTGTTACATAATTTCATATTTCTTTTCGATTTGAAACAGGTTTGGAACTGATATTGTGTCTCACTCGTAAATGCGCCTTCAATTCGTGTTTATAATAACACTTGAAATCACATAAATTGCAAAATACTGTTTTTTCCCTTCCACATTCAACCCGTTGGTGTCGTCTCAAATTCGTTTGTTTCGAATAGTGTTTTCCACATGAAAGGCAGGAGTATCTCGATTGACCTATGAAATGCATTCGTTAGTAACAATTATACTTATTATAATTATAACTGGAATCATATTCCAAGATGACTACAATTTTAGACAAGTCGCTGTTAATACTTCAAAGGTATAGGTACTTCAGTCATTCGCAAGGTTGAATATGGAGCAATTCGCGCATAACATGCACTTCAAATGTTTGACTAACTTCAACACTAACGTTGTTGAAGTACGAAAAGCGTTAGTAACTTGGTTGGTTATGAGTTTTTCGAACCAGAAATATATTAAAACAGTAAAATCTCAGTTCAATGTCACAGACACAGTCAGTCATTACTCAAAAGGTGCACATTTTTCATTAAAAATACTAAAAGACCATGTTTAGTGATATAAATTTGCAATGACAAACAAGCCCTCTTTGAAATACTATCGTAGCATTATGTAAGGCTTTCACATTGACCGCCGCGCCGTAATAAAAATCGTTTTCTATTTTTCTCTGCAGGTTTCACAGGATGGAAAACATAATATGTGAAGTAATCCATCCTAGTACAGTATTTGTCTGTTTTTCCGTTTATTAGCTGTCGCCCCCATACAAACGACAACCCTCAGAAGTTGAGAAACTAAGGACTAAAGAGGTCTTACCTTTCAACGTGTAATTCCTAACACGGTTGCGGTTCTACCAGATAAATTCTCTCGAGAAAAATATCTGGTCGAGGCGGGAATTGAACCCACTGCCTTCCGATCGTGAGTCGGGCGCACTACCACCGCGGCCAATTCCACACAATTCAATCAAGAATGTTCATTAAATCTCTTTCAATCCGTTAGTCAGCTGTTGCTCTATATGCAAGACAATCTCCAAAAGTGTAAACTTGTAAAAGCTAAGGAATAACGAGATTTGATCTTCCAGCATGCGATTCCCATTAAAGGTTGACTGTAACTACCATTTCACGTAACGGTCGATTGAATGAGTAGACCAAATCATAGGGAGAAGACTAAACTATTCGAGTTAACCCAACCGTTAACCAGTTGGGTAAGCGTGAATGGTTTAGTCTTCTCCCTAGGTGATGTAATTGATACAATTTCTTCTGGTCTTCAATAAGAAAAAGTCCCACTCCATCAACTTGAGCTGCAATGACGCTCCCAAAATATGACATTCGCTATTTGTAGTATATAATGGAGGTGATATGAAAAGATAGCGAATATCGATTTATAAAAGAGTAGCTCTCGTTATACCCATGATTGAACGAACCATCAATATGACATTATTATACCAGAGTACGGCTGCCTAACGTATCGAAATATCATATCGGCACCATGGCAACGTATACCGAGGTTGATGGTTTCGCCATGGTAAAAATTAACTAGTAAGTCCACTCCCACTACTTTCATTCATAAATTCACAAAGTTCTCGATGACCCCGTAACGAAGTGCGGAACCAATTTCGTTCTTTTACTATAGGCGTGCGCTCATATAAAAATGAAATTTAAGGATATTATAGAAGATTTTGGGGTAAGTTATTTATTACCAACTACAAAAACTAAAAACAATAATAACAACAGCGAATAAACTAAACCCAATATCAATTTCCGGCCGTTTATTATAACTAATCCGATGCCCATGTACCGTCGAATCCTTCGATACTACAGTACTGAACGTGTTGGATGAGAATCTCATCCTAAAAGCGGTTGAAGGTCCCCGGCAACTCGGGCGGATCACGTGGTAAGAGAGCCTACTGGTTGTATTATTCTACCATGGTTTCGCGTTGGAGATACTGGTGTGCATCAGGTATCGTGTTCAATTGTATATGCCAATATATTTTTTTAAATTATCAATAAAGGTTAAAGTATACCAGGAAGGCTCGTTTTGAAAGCAGTTCCAGATGCACATGGTGTTGCAGTATTTCCTAATAGCAACAAAAGTTAATGAGGTACCATTTTTCAAACCACAAAGAGCCCTTATCGAGTTTTTTCTGAAAAATCGGGAGTGATGCAGGTTTGAATGGAATTATTGGTTTCTTCATAGATCTTGATTTTGTCTGATAGATTGATATAGAGATCACTAAAGTATAAAGTATAATGCTCTGGTCACTATTTATTTGAATACAAGGAATACAGAATTTCACTAGTTCGGACTTCCATTGTCTACTATATAAAATGATTTGAAATCCCTGAAACAACTAAAAAAGAAGCTTTATTTAGCTTTATTTTTATTTATTCAATTGTTCTATTTTTACTTGTATTTTATTTCACTATTATTTCATTTCAGGTTTATTTTGGTTAATATAATTGTTATTTTCAGCTATTCATTTTCAATTCTTCTTAGTTGTTTCAGGGATTTCAAATAATTTTATATAGTAGACAATGGAAGTCCGAACTAGTGAAATTCATCATGAAACATTGTCAGTCACCTACAAACAAACAAGGAATACTGTTCCCCGAAGATAACCTCCGTTGATGTTTGATCCGGTGATCTTGGCGGCCAAGAAATAAGTCCTTGTTATCCACATATCAGGGAAAATTACCATTCTATTAAACTTAGCATTCATTATTGAAGAGCCCACACATAGATATAACAGTAAGTTCAACTTCTAGATAACGCTGTCACCAAGATAGAGGGAAGACAATTAGATTCATTTTCATCAAGTAACGAGTCAGTGTATTCATAACATACGGTGTTAGATACTGATCTCGCTGAAATGTCAAGCAGCATATTGAGGACCCCTCGGAAGTGGGCAGTAGTGGACGGATGTGGCAGATCATAAAATATTGTGATTTGCCACAGCCGGTATGGGCGGGTCAACCCAATTTTTTTGTCGCAAAAAAGTATTTTATGAGCGTTTGGGTCGTTTTCTACCTGCAGTGGCTATATTTACTTATTCATATACAATTGATATTGTTATAACAGTTTAATTCAAAATATTCACATTATATTCGACATGTATGCTTATTTTAAAAGATATTAGGTATCGGGAAAAATTTTGGTATTTTATCATCAAATGAATCCAATGAATCTTCGTCGAATGTATGAATGAAGAGTCTACAATTTTCTCAACTGAATGTTATAATTTCCACCTGTCCCCTTCTTTCAAAACATGTTCAAACATTTTCGTCATTTTCCGGAATGGTAATTTTCAAGGACATCTTTTATTTCGAACGTCATTTTTCATCTTTTAAGATTTTTTATATCAAATCATACGACAACATTGAATGTTCAACATAAATACTGAATGTTTCACATTCAAACCAACTCAATTATGTACGCCTATGGAATAGCCACTTGAAAATATTACTCTGCTGTTCAAAAAAACAGACTATAGCTTCTGCACACATAAACCATGTGGGGAAGATTCTATTGAGCGAGCGTTTCGTTTCAAAATGTTTTTTGAAGAGAAAAATAAATAGAAAAATCTGCATAAATGTTTTGATGGTGCTTGATGTTCCAATTATTAACAGTGACATTTTGAAGCTTTTGTAATAGTCAATCGAAAAGTAATATTGACGCTAGTTCGCTTTAATACTGATTTTACTGTGAAGAGATGCAATAGAGATATAACGGTTATCTAATGAATATTGTTTACGTTTACGGAAGTGTGGTATGCATATAATAAACGAAAGACTTCCAAGCAGCAAAGAGTTATCGCCAAAAAAACACTTGAATCATTTCTGAAAACTATTTCAACAAAGGTGAAATTTGTTATAATCCTGTTAAACTGGTTATAGCGAAGAATTACACCGGTATGTGCAATAGCTATACAGACTTTTGACGTCAACCAATCAGCCTTTTGATATGTGTAATAAATTTAATGTTGCTGTATATTATTATTTGTTTTGATGACGCAATGATGTCATTATAAAAATAAATACAAGGTTTATATTGGCATTCCAGCAAATAAGACGGGACATGTAGGTAGGTCATTTTGCGACTGTATCACTTGCAGCAAATGGTGATTAAATGAAAAATTCAATCGTTCAAATTTATTTTAATAAATGTTGCTCCTGATTCGAAATGTCCACGTGTCTTCTGGAGTTTAAATGAAAACGGAAATAATCTGATCTTTTACATTTGAAATTGCATAATTCACAAAAAAATGTTGCTTCTTTTCCACATTCATACTTCAAATGCCTATTGATGTTACCTTTTGACTTGTACGACTTAGTGCAAGTCCCACAACTATACATTCCATTTTGCATCACGTAATTTCCACCTGAAAACAGATCATCTATATTATCCAATAAACAAAATTTTCAACCTGAAAATAATAAACTACCAACACCCTATGTAATAAAATATATTGTGAACAGATACATAATCTGTAAAGATTGTCAGTAAGTGAACTGAAAAGAGTAATTTTTGAATCAATATTAAGAAAAGTGTAGTATTCAAATTCTGAATTCATTTCCTTCGAATCAAATCATATATTCAATAACCATGTAATTAATTATTAGTAAAGGAATGAACCCAAAGCAGCTATGTTTACTTTTGACTCAAAATGTTGATGACAATCCTCATCATTTTTTTGTTCATACTTAGTTTATACCACGTTTTTGAATAGAACTGCCTATACTTGATGTAAATCCAAATTAAAACTTATCAATACAGTTTATTGTATGATTTTTACTATAAAGGATTTCACAAAAACCGCGACAAGTGTTTCGCTATACAGCTTTCTCAAGCGTGAACTAAAAGTTATTTCTAAACTACAACTATTTTATACTCTAACATATTACCTACTTGTATGCATACTTTCTAATGGAAGAATCTACCTGAAAAGATGAATTCATTAACTATATGAATGAATTAATTCTTTCGAAAGTCTTACCGTAAATATACCCACCTTCGCTTACCTGGAAATTCAATAATGGTGAATTATTCATAGTCCGGTCAAATTAGACTAGAAAATAAGAGTGAAGGTACGTAAATTTACGACAAGCTGCAAATGCGTATAATTGTTCAAAACGTAGTTAAAAATAAGATTTTGAAATTCCGAATGATTGCGCAGCCTGAAAACAAATTTATTCAAGATCAAAGATCAAAAATTTCGAAAAAAATCGTTTTTCGCGATTTTCAGGAAAACGGTAAGTTTCATCATAAAATAACTTTAGATAAAATTGAAGACCATAAAATTCTCTACAAAAAATGTATCATACTTTTTTTTAGAGCCACCGTTTCTGAGATACGACGAGTCAAAAAGTTGTAATCGTCAGTATATGCATAAGTATGCCACGTATATACATCTCTGAAATTGTAATTGAAGTAAAAATATTTTTCTCTTGGTATACATAAGTATAAATATAAGAATATCAGGTAGAATAAAATCCAGTCCCTTAATTTGTACGCTAGTGTAACCTTGAGCCAACTTCTGTCTCCCTGTTCAGTTCTGTGCGTGGCTAGGGTCGTATACCTGCTTTGTGTCAAAATGTCCAATAAATAAAATACCGTTAGTCTTGAGCGCTACGCTGTAGTAAAAACACGTGTTTAACCTAACCTATTTCGTGCTATTTTGTCCAAATATTGTTTTATTTGCGAAAAACTTTTAACTGAAGGTAAAAGTGTTACTGTTGAACATGGTATGAAGACATTAATCAATGCAAGTATCGAAAGAGCAGATGACTTTTCAGAATATCTGAAAAGTCAGAAATCTGTGACAATACATGAATATTGTCGTAGAAATTATACTCGGAAGTGTTCTATTGCTGCAGTTAAAAGACAACGCGACGAACAAGAAGCCAGTACATCAACAGTAGATCCTCCTCGTACAAGATCACGTGTAAGTGATTCAGCTTTTTGCTTTACAAATTTATGCTTATTTGGCGGCAAGGAATTGAATGAAGAGCATGAGAGAAGAAAATACTTGGTTTCTCGCCGTCGAATTAATAAAGTAAGTATTATAAAAGTTCACGATGGAAAAGTACCTGTTGACCCTGTATTATTGTTCCAGCGCATGAGTATTACTACAGCATTACAAGATGAAATTGAGAAATATTTTGAATATGAATTGGCTCCCTACCCTTTATCGTTGTTTGATGACCTCGGGATGCGTAAAACACATAAGTTTGCCATTTACGATTGTTTCCAACAGGTCAAAAAATATATTGGTTAAACAGGCTAATAACGATGCCGACGTACTGATTATTGGAACAGCTATAGAGCAATTTAATTTGACAAATACAACTATTGTTGTTTGTGAAGATGTAGACTCACTCGTACTTTTTACTGCTAGAAAAACTATTTTCTTTCTAAAGTCAGGAAAAGCTCAAAGTCAAACCGAAATATATTCGTAAAAAAGTTTATCTACTTTTGCAAAGAGTCAAAATCATGTACTATTTTTACACGCAATAACTGGCTGTGATACGACGTCTGCATTTTACAGGAGGGGTAAAGCAACATTTTTTTAAATTTAGTTCAATGTGCTGAAGTTTTCAAACAACAACAACAAGAAATTATCGCCAACGGGATTCAGTTTCTTCTTTCTATGTACAAAGCTCCGAAAAAAACCACCTGCTTAGATAATTATCGATATGCATATTTCGTAAAAACCACTAAAAATAAGAAACAGGTGCAATTAGCTTGTCTTCCTCCAACCTCAGTTGCTGCTCATCAACATCTTTTCCGGGTATATTACCAAGTTCAAGTGTGGCTTGGTTATCAGCTAGACCCAAAAGACTGGGGTTGGAAGTTGATCGACAATTAGAACCTATTCAGACTTTACTCCCACCTGCGCCGGAAAAACTGCTGAACACAATTTTTTGCAACTGTAAAAAGGGATGCAGCGCTAAATGTGGTTGTGAAAAAGTTGGACTGTTGTGTTCTCTGGCACGTACACATTGTCAAGGCCAGTCATGTTCTAATGCTGAATCACCAATAGTGGAGGATTCATTTGATACCAACGAGGAAACATGCGATACATCACTCTTGACGCAGTTTTCCTACACCCAGGATGAACATCAAGAAGAAGAAGAACAAGAACAAGAAGAAGAAGACCAAGAAGAAGAACGACAAGAAGAAGTATTTGAAGGTTATGACTCAGATGAATAAATTTCTACATTTTTTAATTTCAATCGCTTTTATAATTTCCAACCCTTCCTAATATATTTTTTATGCAAGTTTTCAATTTGACAGAATCACAACAGACATGTGGAATAGCTCTACTGGGGAAACCACTTTAAAAAAAACGCTAAGTACACTACCTCATAGGTGGCGTGGAAACGTGTGCATATAATGACGATTACAACTTTTTGACTCGTCGTATCTCAGAAACGGTGGCTCTAAGAAAAAAAGTATTGATACATTTTTTGTAAAGAATTTTATGATCTACAATTTTTATCTGAAGATATTTTATGACAAAACTTACCGTTTTCCTGAAAATCGCGGAAAACCAATTTTTTTCGAGATTTTCAACCTTTGACCTCAAATAATTTTTTTTCCAGGCATCGCAATCATTCGGAATTTCAAAATATTTTTTTTAACTATGTTTTGAACAATTACACGCTTTTGCAGCTTGTTGTAAATTTATGTACCTTCCAATGTTTAGATTGACCGGATTATTAGTTCAGTTTGATCGTTCATAAAATATTGAGGTTTTTGAATTTGTTTAATTCCATAGTCTCCAACAGGTAAATTTTCGAACCTTTTTTCTGGAAATGAATGCATGGTTGAACTCATGTCCCTCTGTAATTAAATGAGTGGCATAAGTGAAGTTTATTTTACCATTCTGGAAACTATTTCTGTGGCATATGTGCCACATATGCATTAGACTGCTATTTCTGCGATAGCAGTCTAATGCATTCTCTATTATAAAAAAAAACTTATACTGCCAGCTTTGAAGCAAGTTTACCCAATTCGAATAGATGGGGATGGGGATGAAAGTTATAGAACCTTAACCTCATTAGGCCAACCCATTACAAATATTTCAGATTTTCTGCACAACAAAGGTGTAAATATTGCTTTCAAAACCAACAACAACTTGCACATTGAGAATAACAAAGATAAAAGTTCAGTTTCAGCAAAATCGATAGAAACAGTGTTAGGACATCGAAAATGTATTTCTTGAATGAAATGAATAAAAACACTTTTGTTTAAATTCCACTGGAAAATGTTATTCAGTTTTATGCTTGACAATGGGATCAAATCCGAAACCGGTCGTATAAATAAAATTTTTCAGTGGTATTTAGACAAAATTGTTTTTATTCATTTCATTTGAGTGATCATAAATTACCATAAAGTAAACAAGTCATCAATCACACATATAGGAAATGTATTTGAACGTGTATCCCGAAAGACGACAATCACATCGAACTATGTTCAAGTCATTGGATAAAAATCACACCGAATTTGGTTCATTTGAAAAGCCAATGAGAAAATACGGAGACAGAATCAACAATCAAAATTTGAAAAATGAGGTGGGTATAAGGTAAATTAGACATTGTGTCCTTTTCAATGAAAGTACAACTTTGAACAAATAAAAATAATTAACTAAAATGAGAAGACAAAAGTAAATCACAGCAAATGCTGGCCTTCTTCATGGTAAAACAACTGTACCCTTCTTCGATTATTATTCACTGCACGATTAATTTCCCTCCTCCTCAATCTTCCAAACTCTCTAACAATGCTGTGTTAAAGGTCTTCAATATTTTCATATTCCTTCTAACCATAAACTTTATTTTTCAGTGTACCCTATAAGAATGTATCCATAACACTCAAGTCCGGAGACCTAGCTGGCCACCTCACCGGCCCATTATTCCCTATTCATTTATCACCAAACCTTTGATTGAATATCAATAATTCGGAACATTGTTTGGAACTTTTGAGAAGCAGCCTTTGCAATTCCGGCGACATGATTGTGCTGAAACATATTGTGTCCATTTTGAACCCCAACAAACTTATTGAAGCAGAAAGCGGAATTGTGTGTCCTGACATTATTATATCTGGTTGAGAGATAATTATCTTTTTGGAGAAAACCGATGCCTGGGTTTTCGTAACATTGAATTGAAGCTGGTTACTTTCACCCAAATTCGAAATCACCTCTAGATCCTTATTAAGACATACAACTTCCTGGTGCCGGTGAAGATATGTATCCGCACCCGATGTCCCGGAATCCACATGGAATGACGAGATAAGTGTGCTGTCGTCAGCAAAGCAATATATGGGATTCTTGGTTTTTTCCAATAAGTCGTTGATATACAATAAAAATAAGGTTGGAGACAATATGAACCCCTTGGGAACACCAGCATTGATGGTAAAAAGGAACGTTCTCTAAGGATGATCCGACAAGCCATAGCATCGAAGTTTGGTCAGCAAACTCTCATGCCACCACAGTCAAAGGCCTTAAAAATATCGAGTCCAACAGCTCTTGACTTTCCATGTTTCTCGATTGCTTTATTGAGTGACATACGATGGAAGGTCGCCTGTTGATCTTTTTTTCAAAAGCCATTAGGATATGCTGGTATATGGCTTTCTCCGTGATTTTTGATATCACTGATGGTGCAGGATGACTGGTCTATAGACATTTGGAAGATTTATTTTGCCCTTTTTCGAAATGGGCTGAACGCATGCATTATATAATAATAATACTCTGTATTCAATTTTGCATAATACAAAGAAATATCTCACAATAAAATGAAGTGAATAAAGCCGATGAGCGATAAGTGCTATTGCACCTGTTTCGCCATACAATACCTAAAAATACGGATAACTATAACATACATATACAAGTACTAAACAATAGAAAAAAATTTATAAACAAATACATAGTATATAAAATAATAATCAGAGTAATTATAAAGTTTCTCCCTATTTATGTAAGTAATAATAATTGTGATACAAAAGTGTTATCTTACGAAACATATGGATGAAGCTAATGAGCGGTAATGTTGTTGCACTTTTTTAGCAGTAAAATGTGATAATGTTTAAAAGGAATGCGAATGATGGAATAGTTACGCAGAAGAATAAATAATGTTGAAGTAAAAACATAGTTCATAAAGTAGTATTAGTGGGGATGACAATAAAGCTCTCATTCATGTGAGCAGTACACAACAACATACTAGGGTTCAGGATTTGTTTAGTAAACATGATCATCGAAAAAGTGATGAACTAATTGTCTTGGATTCTCAAGAATGAACTTCTTTAATGCATTTTTGAATTGAGGCAGATATATAAATCTTTTCAACCGTTCAGGTAATTTATTATATAATTTTGGTGCTAAGTATTGAAAAGAACGTTGTGTTGTTGTTTTCACCATATAGGGAACTGGGTGTTGGTTTCGATTTCGTGTATACTATAGATGTGTAGTGAGAACTGGTGTTTGTGTGGAGTGATATTTTATGAGTGTAAGGAAAAATATAGCTGTCTAGTGTCCATGATTTTTGCTTCCAGGTACAGTTGATCTGAGTTGTATAGTCGATCTTTTGAGAAAATGAGCTTTGACTTATTTCTAGAGGATGTAAGTAGGTTTTTGCTGCAGCTCCCCATCCTAGTATTCCATATCGAAGACGACTTTCCACTAGTGCGTGGTATAGTATTTTTAGTAAGTGTGTTGGTAATATCTCTTTGAGATATTTGAATCTATAGAGAATAGTCTGTAGTTTATTGATAATATATTTTATATGAGAATCCCATCTTAGGTGTGAGTCGATTATGACTCTTAGATATTTAATTTCATTGAGAGGTAAGATATGGCATGGATTGCCATTTATGTTCACTGTTAAGTTATTGAATATGGGTAAATCAGTTTTGTTACAGCTGAAAGGGACGTACTTTGTTTTTTCTAAGTTCACTGTGATCAGTTTACTACTCAAAAATGTTTTTATTTTACTAAAGTCATTTTGAGTTTTTTCTTTGAGTGCCTCTCAGGTATAAGCAGTATAAAGTATTACTGTATCATCAGCGAAACCAAGAATGAATTGAAGAGAGTATAGTTCGTTCACGTATATATTGAAAAGAATGGGTCCTAAGACAGTACCTTGTGGTATTCCGTATTCGATTTTTCTCGTTTCGCTGACAACTTGGTCGAGTTTCACTCGTTGATATCTATTTGAGAGGTAACTTTCGAAGAGCTTCAGGCTCTGTCCTCTTACACCTATGTTTTCAAGCGATCTCAAAAGCAAACCATGATGAACCGTGTCGAATGCTTTGGAAAGGTCTATAAATACGCAAAGACACGGTTTGCTATCATGAAGTGCTGTGATTATTTCAGACATTAAAGTCATTATTGCGTCTTCGGTGGATTTCTTTTCTTGAAAGCTAAATTGATGTTTAGAAATTATATTGTATTTATTCAAGAATGAAGTTAAATGATTTTTTAAAGCTTTTTCAAAAATTTTGGAAATATGGATATGGTTTGAGACTTATCTTATCTTATCTTTTTGTAACATAGAGAACCACTGTTATCAGTGACCAAACTACTAGCTCTTGTCACCCCTGCAGAAAAACACACAAAGCGTTGATTAAATGAAGTCGGAAATATTCTGCTTTTATTACGTTTTTCAAGTAACATATCTAAAGTACAATAAAACATACAAATATCAATTGTAAACGAAAAAAACCAAAAATCAATTTCTCATCATTTATTTTCATTTCCTTGTTTTCTATCTGTTCACTTTCGTTGACAGGGTCGTCAACCATGATATCCAATTATTCAAGATGATAAACGATATCAATACCTTTATTCCCAGGACACCTCGTTCTTGTGAGGTGAATTTTTAGATCTGACGGATATTTGAATTTCTTCCAACAAGATGGACATGGATGTGTCGGCTCTTGCCCACATTCGTACCTCAGATGGCGTTTCAATGATTGTTGATGTTTATACGATGAGCCACACTTCAGACAACTGTGTCGACGAAGATAAACATCTACAAAGGTAAGTAGCAAAAGTAATGATAACCTAATAGACAATTTGATGCACCTAAACCAAGAATGTGAGATCATGCATAGCACAGTGAGTTGTGCTCATGTTATTTAACGTGCATGAAATGTCAGTTCGGAGAGAGACAGTGGAGTTTTTTTAAATATAGAGAGAAAATTTTGAAAAGAGTTTTTCTTCATAAAATTTGAGCCTATATGCGGAATTAGGTACAAATGGATTTTTGTCCATTTCGTAATATACATCACAACTTTCATAAACTCCTCAGTTTCAACAATGCTTTATTCCAGATACATTTTTTGGGACTAAGTAGCATCATATTGGGAATATGTTTTTTTACAGAATCCATTCTTGAAATCTGTACGAGGTAACTTCATAAAATATCTGAGTCAACTTTACAAATGAAAATTTAAATTCGTTCAAGGCGCTTGTCGCCTACTTCTCCGGCACAGCACAGCATGGCGCTGTCATCGCCTGATGGCGACGGGTAGTAGAATCGTCCACTTTTCAAGTTACAACCAGCATATTGAAGGTGCTGTTTGTTCGATTTCAAGAGAATTTCTGTTGACATCGAGCGGTGACAAAAAGATGTCTATCACTAGCAGTTCTGACGAAGAAGTTGTTATTATAGCGGCCGCATTATTGAATGTAGAAGAAAATTGTAAAAAAAGGAACGATGTGGGTCCATTTCATTAATCAGAAAAGGGAAAATCTGAGAGAGTTTCATCATCTTTTCAACGACCTGAAAATAGAGAAGGAGAAATGTTTCCAGTATTTAAGAATGACTGCAGGCAAATTTTCAGAACTTCTGGATATTCTAGAGCCTGCCTTAAGAGGCAACTCAATTTTTCCTCGTCCATTTTCATAGGTACCGTTTGACACCGTGCCGTGCCGTGACACTTGTGCCGGACAAGTGGGCGACAAGATTTATAAATGTAGTATACGCTTTCATATACCGTAGAAGGAAATTCCAAACGTACACATCTTTTATTGAGAGTAGTTACAAATTGAGTTGTATAAGGTTTTCCACTCTCTTTTCACAAGTCCTGTGAAAACATATCTTAAACTATTTAAGTAATGACCAAAGAATGTTAAATTTCACGGACGGAGATAACTGTGTCAAAGGCTATTAGTGCCAGACATTTCGTCTACTACTGCGGTATACATTGTCAAAGGCGATAAGTTCCCGAGTGCCCGCAGTAGTAGAAAAAATGCCAGGCATAAAAACTTGCAGACCACTGCCACAAGCTATGGCAGTGGTATGTAGTATTGTTTCACAATATCTAGTCACCCATTTTTTGAACGGCTCTACAATATTTCACAGAATTGTCAGATTATTAAATGAACTTTTCACCGTTCAAGTAGATTTATATTACGCCGTAATTCTACTTATAGTAGATATTTGCACGATTTGGCATGATTGCCTTTTATTAAAAATGTTGGCTTGGCTAGTACACGATGCCTTGCGTTTTCACTATACATTATTATGTTTTTCCCATGGGTTTGACAATAACTGACTACACTATACAATTACACTTCACTTTGTTCCACTGCTACACTGACAATACAATCAAACACTTCAACTAAAAGTTCAAAATAATATTCAATAATATTCAAATGTATATCGCTTCATTAAATCACTTTGTATTGCACTGTCAACTGGACCTCCGCGGTATGTGAGTGGGTAGTCTTTATATATGCCAATGGAAGTCTAAGAAAACCGATAGGATTATTTTCGAAGCGACGCGACTCCTAGAAACACGAGTAGAGTTGAGCGTGACCTTGGCCAAGTCACAGTCGATTGACGACGACCAGCGGCGGCTGGAGTTATTTTTTCAGGGAATGATTGACAATAATATTAACAGAATATCAGTTTTTTTCTATCATGATTTTCGTCATAATAGAAAAACATTATCGACACAACGGAGTGTCAATTTTTATTATAGTGAATTCAGTGCATCACCATAAGATATAATATCAATTATTTGTTCAGGAAACTGCACTAAATAAATAAACGGTTATTTCTACTTTCTCCTGGAAATTTTAATGGATGATTGGTGTTCGAGGAATTGTAATGGGGCCAATCTTGTTCAAAATATATTTGTATTACATTTATGAATTGTATCTGAAAGGGAAAATAATTAGGTTTTCTGACGATATCGTTGTAATCTATAACTGTTGAGTTTCCCTCAAAACAACTGTGTAGGCAGATTTCGTAACGACCTTTGACGTAATAAATGTAGAATAACGGTATTTGTGCTATTTAGCTCGTACACTAAAATCTAACTAGAATTCATAAGTCAAACAATGAAAAAACCAGCAGAACTAGCCAAGAAATACCCAGGTTTTTTGCAGTGCGAAATAGATTGGGAATTATTTGTCAGTTTTTATAGTGGCTCCTTGAATGATGAAAGATATGTAGAGTTATTGATTGTCATTGATATCGATGATCTAAGTAGGAATAATTTGTATTTCCAGTAGGATGGAGTACCTGCCCATAACTGTAGAGGGATACTTCAGCTTCTGGTGCATTGAAATATGGATGAGAAGAGAAAATGTGCCTCTATTTGATGGTCTCGCATCAAAGAGAGCCAAGCTAATGTTCTCAATTCCCTTGAAAAATTTTCAATTTCTAAAAAATATTGAGCACTTTGTAGCATTAAGTGTATTGGAACAGTTGAACAATTGGTACAAAAATGCATTGAAGAAAGTTGTGATATTTTGTGCACCTACTGACAAACAGAAATTTTTCATTTTGAAACGCTCATTTCTTTAGTCACACCTTCATTTTTCACAAAAAATTGACATACACTTTCAAAAGTGAATAGAATTCAATTTATTCAAAATTGTTGTTGATCATTTTTTCTTGTATTTTAATTTTTAATGAACCAAAATGCCAGTGATTTGCCACTAATAAAAAAGTTACCAATGGTGCCCATTGATTTCTCGACCAGCATGTATATAATAGCTATTGATTCAATAATAACACGTTTGGTCATGACAGACAATTATATACTTCAAAATCACAATGAATCATTACCAATGAAAGTGAGTATGATCCTAAAAACGATCTGAAGTCAAATCCCGTCAAATAAAATATTGACACATTTATCATTTTGTTTAATATGTGTCATCATATGCCGTCCAAAATTGCCTTTGATTTTAGTTTTGTACGGACATATACGACAGAAATATTGTTCAGATTTCCCACATTCATATTTCATATGATTCCTGAGGGATGATTTTCTTTTATATGATTGGCCACAGCTGCTACACTTGACTCCTGAAATTTTCAATGTTTTAAATTAACAATTAATTGGAGTTATCAGTATAATTGACATTTACTTCAGCAACGTTCTAGAAAAAAACACCCAGTGATGAGCAAAATGGGAATAACATCAAGTGATCTGAAGCTAAAATCATCAATAGAGGAAAACAATGATTTGGAAGAATGTTTGAGGTTTAAGGAAGTCGCATATATGTTGAACAAAAACTCATTCAGCCAGTGTAGATATCTGAAACTTTCCAATAAAGTAGAAAAACTGTTTACGGTGCACTAAAACAGAAAAATGAGAGGAGAGAGGAAAGAGGAAAAAGCACGCATGTGTCCATGTCTTGAAGTATAATATCAGGAATGAGCCAGTTATCATTCGAAAGTGTTTGTGAATGCAAACAATCGAAACGTCGTAAAGTATCAAGGTTTAGAATATGTTTTATCGATTTCACCTCTTCCTCATTACTTCTCAATGTTCATTTCAGTCGCAATGAGATTAACATCTGACATCTTTCAGAGCTCAACTAAATTGTTGGTTATTAGTTAGAAATTGAAAATTGTGAAAATTGCCATTTGGAGGAAATATTTCTAATCTATTTTACCATATAGATGCCGAATTTGAAATCTCAAAACATTACTGTTTTCCATTTTTGCTAGAAAAAATTACATCTTAGATATTATCGTATCAAACAACAACCTTAAGCCATTCATATTGTAAGAAAAAATTCATAAGATTCTACAATACATACAAATATTATCACATTGAGTAGCATTTTTTCCGTCAAAACATTTTTGAAAACTAGCAAAGAACCATCTGACTCACATACATGAATATGGTGAATATTCTGAATTCTCCAGTACAGTTGATGTGAAAGGGATACCTACCCAAAACAACCATGATTGTTAACTGACATCAAATTATTCTACTCGTCCCACAAAAGTAACTTCATGATTGGGATTATTCTTTCAGTTAAAAACTCAGCCAAACTTTTCCTTAATAGACAAATATTGAACAAAAGTTTGTAGAAACTTACTTTCACTTCAATTATTTTTTATGGCCTGGGTGATAATATAATGAAGAAATCTAAGTAAAGTCGAAAAATATTTAGAAACATTCCATTTCTCTCTTTCTAGAAAAATATATTCAAAATAATATTATCAAGAATCTCAAGATGGTAGTATTCTGCATTAAGCAACTAGCCGCACCGTTACGAGTTGAACAATAATATCACAAAAAAAATAATAGATCCACTTTCTAAACTCTTGATATACTTACTGTTTGTATTAGTGATGTCAATTGCTTCATTTAAACGCATCCTCATGTCCACCTTTATCGCCTGGCCACAGCAAATTACTACTATAATTGAACACTTATTGAATTTCACTGGTTCGGACTGCCATTGTCTAATATAAAGGGTGTAACTAAATAAGTGTAAAACATTTAAGGAGGTGATTTCTCATCGAAAAGAAGATAGAATCTTTCATATAAAGAAATTTCATTGGAGTATCCCTTGTTAAGATACAGCCCCTTAAAGGGGGTACATGGTTGTAAGGGGTGGAAAACGCAACCCCTAAAATTTATTTCCAATGTAACTTTTTGTCTTATCATTTGTTTACCATTTAAAAATTTATTTCCGATAGCCTGTTTCATTCTAAACAAAAAATGTCTCGTGGGTTTTTTGCCCAAAATAAACCAGTTCGCAGCAAAAAATTATTTTAGGAA